TGCCACTGGCTGGGCTTGACGGATGAAGGGCAATAGAAGACAAAGCTGTCAAACCTCGCCCGGCTGTGTTGACTTCCCATCACCCCCCAGACGGAGGGGAGCCCGATCCATCTGGTTTGGAGTCAGCAGCACAAACAAAAGCAAAAGACAATGGCAGGAAGCACTTGAAAGTTCAAATTCTTGCTTTGGTTTCTCTTGGAACAACAGCACCTACGTAATGCGGCCGGCGGACAATAATGCACAGCCAGGGACAGGCAAAAATGCCAGAAGAATGTGCCTACGCCACCAAACCAGCCAATATTTCTGTGTTATTGGAACAAAAATAGAAAAGCAAAAGAAAAAAAAAATGAAAAAAAAATCAAGGCTTTGGAGTTCCTAGATTTCTTGGACAGGGTTTCTGTAGAGGTGAACTACAAAGTGGGGTGGCCAAGGGCTGTATGAGGAGCCTGGCACTGGGGCAGCTGTGCCCCAAGGGGCTCAGCCTTGGGGGCTGGGGCTCAGCTGTGCCCTTGGAATGGCCCTCCTGCCAGGGCCATCACACTTGGGAGCCAGGGAATACAAGGCAGCTTCGGGGGGGGTGTGTCCAAATCCCCTGCAAAGGCCTGCCAGACACCCCAGCCCGCCCCATCCACTGTGGAGAGAGAGAAACCATGCACAGGAACGCCGTGTTTCCTCAGCAAAACCCATCCTTGGGGTAGTGGCCAGCCCAGCCCAGCTGGCTGGTGCCCTGGGACAAGGTGAAATGCAAGAAGCCCGAGGGCTGAGCCCAGCTCTGTGACAACACAGGCACCAGGATGAGGTTTTGCAGCATTCCAAGATGAGTCTGAGATGAGCTGCACCTGCAGGTGCGACCCTGCAGTGCCAGCCCTGGGAACATAGTGGTGGTGGCAGGTTTGGTGGCATGTGCTGATGGGTCAGTGTCACAATGCTGGGTCAGGAGAGGGGAGAGGTGCCCACCCCACACATCCTCCCCACAGATCAGCAGCTGCCGCAGGACCCCAAGTGAAGGACTCCCAGACCCACCAGTGGTTGTGCCTGAGGGTTTTGGCATCATCATTTTTTTCCTGCTCAAATCCAGTCACTCAGTGCCTGTCTTTTCCACACTGAGCTGCTGCCCAGGCAGCTGCATGTCCCCAGAGCACCTGGGGACACCAGCTGTGTCTGTCCCAAGCACTGTCCTGTGCTGGCAGCAGATGGCACAGGGGCTTGGTACATCGGAGTGGAGTTTGACCAACCTGAAAAGGTCATACCAAGCCTTTTATCCTCATTTCTTCCCCACCGTGTTCATAGGACACCACTCCTGGAATCCCCAGGAATCTACACTCCAGAGCCAAACTGAGCATGGCACAAATTTCCCCAGGATTAGACATTTCCAGGGCTGGCAAAATTATTGATAGAGAGGAAGCCCCATCCAACCTCCAGTGCTACCAGTGAGGGAAGTTTGTCGGCATCCTGCCTTCAAAGTCCTGGCCTCAGGGAGGGCCCCACCAGTGCAGGCATAGGACTGCCTCTGCTCTTTCCACTTCCCGGAGCAGCTGGATCCTGCCTGGAAAGCCTCCAGAGGAGCAGGGCTCAGCCTTCTCTGGGCACTGGTCTGCTCTGAGCCACATGAGAGGACAGAGATGCCTCTGGGGATGGAGAGCCCAGGCTGACCCTCACCCCGTGCCCCTTTCCAGGGGGCAGCTGAAGCCACCACTGACTCCACCCCCACAGCCTGAGGGTCTGCCTCAACCCCTCGTTGGGTCCCAGGTTGGAATCAAAAAGCCTGGAAAGGTTCACAGGTAGCTGGAGGGTGCTCAGCGGTTGAGGCTGGAGCTGCAGGCCCAAAAATGCACCTCACTGCCACAGTCCCAGGATTGGCTGCTGAGCTCTTCCCTCACTCCCTTGGGACAAGTAGCTTCTTTAGGAATGTCTCAAACACCATGTGCCCATCCAGCACCAGGGTTTGGTCTAAGCCATAACTCCTCCACCAGCCTCCAAATGCTGGGGTGGGGCAAACCAGGACACCCCTTGAGCCCAGGGAGCTTCCTCCAGCCTGTGGGAAGGGGCCACATGCTCATACCCCAAATCCATCCCAGCCATCCCCCTCCAGGGATGCATTTAACCACAGAATAGCTGCAGGTTTGACACCAAAAGAGAGACCTGAGGACCCAGCCAGACACCCCCCGCCCCAGGAACCACCCAGCATCACCCATAACCACATGGGAAAGAACAAACAGAAAAGCCTTTTTTTTATATAAAAAGATCAATGAAAAATTTATTTATAAATTTCGCACTCTGGGGCTACACGTCTATATCATACACTCAGGAATATGCTGTACTGTACAGACTTTATCCAGTTAGAAATGATCATATAGTGACCCACATACAGCTTCAATATAAGCCTAAGAATTCTTAACATTAATTAACATAATTAAAAAAGGTATTCGCATCTAAAGAAAAATCTACAGAAAAACTCCTTTCTGGAGCAATCTGTGCATCAGCTTCAATGTCTGCTTATTTCACTGACATTATCAATATATCTTCTTACAAAAATAATAATAATAATTAAAAAGATGACTGCTGGAAGGCAACCAGTCATGCATGAAAGAGCCTCCCCCACCTGCCTCTTTTTTTTTTCTTGTACTCCCCGTTTTGGCATGAAGGGTCAGCAGCACGATGAGCCAACAAGGGGGGTGGGGGGGACCCTCATTTCAATTTGAATCAGTCTGCATCCCTTTTACTTCTCAGGATCAAGAGAGACCAGGGGTGTGGGGGTTGCATAGAAAATTGAAACTCTAGGGACTAGGAAGGGCAGCAGCTTTTCAGTAAAATACAAAGGGATGTAAAAATACATCAACTCACGATCTCAGAGCAAACCCCCTTCCCCGACGTACAGTTTCCCAAAAATCTCAGCGTGTCTAAAGCTCCAGGAGGCTGGAAAGGAACAATACTTTTCTTAAACAACTCACCCAGTAATTCACACAGGAGATTCACAGTCTTAATAGGTATTTTATAAAAATATAAATATGGGCTACCTCATGTTGTCTTTACAACACTGGACAGAGCTCCCTTTAGACTGGGTTTATAACCAAGATTTCTTTTTAAAAATCCATCTAGAACTTGGCTTTACAATACACTTTTTAATATCATGTCATAAATGTTATGACATTTCATTGTGGCAAATCCATTCATGTAAAAAAAAAAAATGTGCAACCATCTGGTAACGACGACAAAACCTCACTAGAAAAGGTCTTGTTCCCACCCCATAACTATCGCACAGAAGCACCAGTGGAAGTGCTGGACACCCCCTTCCATGCTCACAGAAAGACTTCGGCCAAGCAGTTCCTTGCACATTACAGCATTAACAGTAGATGCTTTTGATAGAGCTTTTTATCTCTTTTTCTTCTTTAAATTTGGAGCTTTTGAAATCATCTCAAATTGTTAAAGTGGAGAAAAAACCAAAAAACATCAAACAAACAAAAAACCCCAATTGCAGGTGAAACCATCAGAGACAAAGCAGAATATTCAGTGCAATGGGAAATAATCATGGCAGACTCTAGTTTTTTTTAGTTTTAAGACTAGGAAAACAAACAAACAAAAAAAAACAACAGACAAAAGGCATATTTCCCAAATCATATTTTTGAAACACTCACCACCAGCTTCAAACAAAATCAGGCTCACAATCTTCACCACAAATATATACAAACATGATAAATAGGTAAGACACAACCCAAATAAACCAGCAGGTAACTATTTTCTTTTCTCTTTTTTAATGGGAATGGTTTGGATGCAGGGTGTGAGAGAGGAGAGAGCGGGGAGACGGCAGTGATACGGATGGCTTTAGTGCAGACGAGGAGAGGGCTGAAAGATCAGCGGGAGCGAAGAGACTTCTAAAACTTTCCACATTTTCCAAATGGATGGTCTTGTGCCATAGCAATAAAAAAGCAGCATTTGCGATTATACGTGCAGTCACTTCAAAATGCGCCTTCGGGTGGCTCACTCTGCTTCCCCCCTTTCCTTTATAAAGATATATACTGTGGGATATATATCTCCTATAAAAGGCAGGTGAGTGTACATACGTCAAGTGAATCATTCTGCATTGAGAAGTGTTATCCAAGTTTCACCACAAGAAAAAAATAAAGTTCCCAAACTCTTTTCAGTAGTTTTCCAGCATCTCTGTAGGCAGCAGAGAGCGCTCGCGCCCCTTTTCTGTGCAAAAGCAAATCCTCTGCCTCTAGAGTTTATTTTACTTTTTTTTTTTTTTTAAGAAAAAAAGAAGTCCAGGATTTGCTAATCCCCCTTTATACACAAAATCAGAAGGACTCAGTGTCTTTTCCTGGGATCTCACGTGTGCTAAACGGATTCGTGGAGTGGGTGAGGACAGACTTTCTTCGGACACCCAAGGAAGAACCAAAGCAGAAAACCCAATGAAAAATCAACCAAAACGAGGAGCAATTGGGGTGAGAAAACCACGTCTGTCATATTCCAACGGAATCGCCTCGACAAAAAAAAAAAAAAAAAAAAAAAAAAAAAAAAAAAAAAAAAAAAAAAAAAAAAAAAAAAAAAAAAAAAAAAAAAAAAAAAAAAAAAAAAAATCAGCGGTGGGAAAACACTGGGTGAACCTTGGAGAGGAGGAAGACTTTCCTGCTCTTCCTCGCCGGCAAGGGCCGCGGGCGACCGGGAGCCCCCAGCTCATCGACGGGCCATTGCGCCTGGAGCCGCGGCTGGCACGGGAGAGGGGACCCCAGCACCAGAGGGGGACGGCGGAGAGGCTTTTGGGGAGCGTTGAAATGAAATCGTTTCTGAGTCAGAATACTTTAAATGGGAGGGTTGGGAGCGAGGGGAGCGGGGAGAGGGATTAAATATTAGCGAGGAGGGACAGGGGGCGTTAAAGCATCTGCCCAGATGTCAAACTGAAACCGTGAATACTGTGAGTGCAGCCGAGGTAGATGGAGGAAAAAAAACATGTTACAGTAGGAAACAACCCTTGGAAGGAAAACCAAACCAAAACAACAAAAAAACCTTAAAAACGTAAAAGCGGTGGCGTGTTCTGCGTGGGGCCCCAAATCTTCGCCAAACCCCCCCCCGGGCGGGGGCGGGAGCAGCTCTGGCGTCCGGGGGAGAGGGGAGGGACCCCGGCATCGCCAGGGGAGAGCGGGGTGGGGGGGACCAGGCATCACCGAGGGAGCGGTCCCGGCATCACCGAGGGAGCGGTCCCGGCATCACCGAGGGAGCGGTCCCGGCATCACCGAGGGAGCGGTCCCGGCATCACCGAGGGAGCGGAAGGGGGGCAGCCCCGGCATCACCGGGGGAGCAGCCCCAGCATCACCGTGCGCCGGCAGAGTATTTGGCCTTGGTGATCAGGTAGAGGACGATGTCCTGGTGGCCCCCGAAGGCGGCGATGTGCAGAGCGCTCCAGCCGTCGCGGTTGGCCAGGCGGATATCAGCGCCGAACTTGACCAGGAGCTTGACGAGCTCGAGGTTGCCGTCGATGACGGACTGGTGCAGCGCCGTCTGCCCCTCGGGCCCGAAGGAGTTGACGTTGAACTCGCAGTTCGTCATGTTCTGCAGCAGCGACTGCAGCTCCTTGGTGTTGCCGCGCCGCACCGCCTCCTGGAACACCCGCTGGCTGGGGGGCGGCGGCGGCGCCGCGCACGGCGACACCTCGCTCTGGCTCATGCCGCCGCCTGGGCCCCGCCGCCCCGCATGGACGGCGACGGCGGCGCCCCCCCGGGCATGCGGCGGCGGGCGGGCGGTGCTGCGGTGCTGCCGGGGCTGGGGGTCCCGCTGGGGTCGCGGTGGGTCCCGATGGCCGCTCCCGGCCCCGCCGCTGCCGCGCTCGGTGCTGCGCTGGCTCCGCTCGCGCCCGTCTGGAGCGGCCCCGGCGCCGCGCGCGCCTTTTACCCGCCCTTTTATTTGCATAACAATGGCACGGCTGCGGGGGCGGGGCCGCGCGCCGCAAGCCCATTGGCCCCGACGGGCGGGGGGCGGAGACTCAGCGGGAGGATACGCCCCCCCCGGGAGGGTGAGCGGGAGGGGCCTGAGCGCTGCGAAGGCGGGAGGGGGCGGACGGGGGCGCTCCGGGCCCGGGAGCCCGGGACAGCCCGGGACAGCCCGGGATAGCCCAGCTCGGGACAGCCCAGCTCGGAACAGCCCGGGACAGCCCGGGATAGCCCAGCTCGGGACAGCCCAGCTCGGAACAGCCCGGGACAGCCCGGGACAGCCCGGGATAGCCCAGCTCGGGACAGCCCAGCTCGGAACAGCCCGGGACAGCCCGGGATAGCCCAGCTCGGGACAGCCCAGCTCGGGACAGCCCGGGACAGCCCGGGACAGCCCGGGACAGCCTAGCCCGGGACAGCCCAGCCCGAGACAGCCCGGGACAGCCCAGCTCGGGACAGTCCAGCCCGGCCCGGGACAGCCCGGCCCAGTATAGCCCGGGACAGTCCAGGACAGCCCGGCTCGGGACAGTCCAGTACAGTCCGGCCCGGGACAGCCCGGGACAGCCCAGTGCGGGACAGCTCAGCTCGGTACATCCCAGCTAGGCACAGACCGGGTCAGTACAGGCCGGCTGGCGGTAGCCTCGGCACGAGGGCATGATTGGCCAGGCGGGAGCAGCCGGCCCCGCCGCTCCCTGCAGCGCGGTGCTGGAACCGGTTTGTGCCCGTCCCCAAACATCCCTCGGGACTCCGCCAATGAGGGTCATCAAGGGGCTGCGGTTACCCCCGATTTGGGGGTGACACGGGATTGCTACGGGTTTGTGTCCTCATAAGCCAACCGGGATAGGTCAAGGAACAGGGTGGGAGGTTCAGCCCGCAGGGTCTGGCTGCTCTGGGGGCTCCCAGTGGGAGCTGCACTGGGTTTCAGGGACCTATGGGTGGGATTGATTTGGGGAGGGAAGATGCAACCGCCATTATGTCCCGCCAGCGCTGGAGTGACTCGGTTCTGTTGCCTGGGGCTTTATCCCGGGTTGGACCCACTGCCCAGCCGAGGACCACATTCCTGGTGCGGGAGCACTGGGAGCTGTGAACACTGCGGGGAGGTGGAAAAATGGGCAAAAAGGTACCTGAAAACACTGCATCAACCAGAAACGGTACTGGGGGAGCCCTCCCCTTCCCCCCGTGCCCATTTGGTCCCCGGGGAGCAAACGGCGGGTCTGGGTGGGAAGCAGCGTTCCTGGGCCAGCTCCCTCTGCCTCCGCCGGGCATTTGGTCAGCTGGAGCAGGACGGGAGGTGCGGGGAGAGACGAAGGAGCGTGTCATAAACCGAGGTGACAGCAGCCACGACAGGGGCAGCTGGGTGGCAAGCTGCTGTCACTTGGCACTGCTGGTGTGTCCTTTTGGGGAGGCAAAGAGAGAAATCAGCCAACTGATAAATTCGACCCTAGCTGATGAAACGTGCCATCTTGGAGCTGTCTGTCGCATGGCTGGAGGACAGTGGCCGTGAGCTAAGAGTGCGATTTGCCCCACGGCCTGTTTCTGTGGCTTTTCCCAGCAGCTGGAGGAGCCGGGGACGCCTCTGCCCCAGCTGGGTCCTTCTCCTTATCCCAGCCTGCTTTTGGCTGTAAGTTGGTAAAGCAGCTCTTGTTTTTCTTCCTGTAAGGGTCTGCCTTTCTAAGTCCATTTCTGCAGATAGTTTTTCTCATCCCTATCCCCACTCCTACCCCATTCCCATCTTCATACTCATCCCTATATCCATGCCCATCTCCCTGTCCAGATCCCCATCTCCATCCCATCCCTGTCTCCATCCTCATCCCATGCCTGTGCACCTACTCATCTCCATCCCCATCTCCATCCAATCCCCGTTCGTCCTATCCCCATCTCCATCTCAATCCACATCCCCATCTCCTTACCCATGCCCATCTCATCCCAACCCCTATCCCAATTCCATCTGTCTGGTCTCACTGGCTTCCCCAGGCCAGAGCTCTCCCAGTCACACCTTTCTAATGTGAACGTCGCAGCCCACTGTTCTCACGGAAAAAGGGGGATTGGGACGTGACCGTGGCCAGGAGCTGCAGGCTCTCCTCTGCTCTCCTGTGGCTGTTGCAGCTTCTCCCAGGATGTCTCTGTGCCACTGAGGCGCAGAGCCCCCACAGCACTGGCACAGGACACAGAGCTAGGCTCAGGGCTTGGAGCCCTGGGGGCTGTGCAGGAGCCAGGTTTGCCCGAGGACAGCGAAAAAGAGCCACTTCTGCCTGTCCCTCCCTGCGAGGGCCCCGTTCCGGGCAGGAGGTGGTGGCTCTGTCCCCATCACCCCAGCCATGGTGGCCGCGGGGATCACCAGTGGCGATCCCTGCCCTGCTGTCCCGGTGTCACTCGCCGTGGTGAGCCGTGACTCCTGGTGACTCACGGCAGCTTTGGTTGTGCCAGGGCCCGGCACAGCCTGGTAGTGCAAACAGCGGGGAGCGCGGGAGCCACCGCAGCCCGCGACCGTTCTCTGGCACTAATCCCAGCAAAGCCATCATGGCAAAGCTGGAAAAGAGAAGGCAGCGGGTCCTACGGCAGCTCTGCCGGAGCTGAGTGTGATGGCCTGAGGGTCGGGGCTCTGCTCTTCCAGGCTCGCCCTCTCCTTTCCACTCCTAAATATCCCGTGACAGCTGATTTTGTGCATTTACAGGCCATATCCTGCGAGGTGTGGAGCCCTGTGAGTGAGCCGTGGGAGAGTGGGAATTGCTCACACCTCCCCGGTCTGGGGCTTGGCCAGAGTTACATCCTCGCAAGCAAATCTGCATTAGCCAGTGACACTGGTGAGAAAAAGAGCCCGGGCAGGGACCCAGCCATGCAAATGTTCGGGGCTGGCAGGTGGGGGCAGGACTCGGCCTGGGAACGGGGCCAGAGAGGGAGGGAAAAGAGTGAAAAAGCAGAGGGGAAAAAAAAGGAAATTAAATTTTGAAACGGTGCGTTTCAACCTCAGCTTGTACCCAGCTCTGTAACCGGAGAGGAGCCGGGAGCGGTGTGACGGCCGGGTCAGGCTCCCCGCACGGCTCCGGCCGGGAAGGGGTTGCGGAGGGACCGATGGCCCCTGTCCCGGCTCCATGGGGCCCTGCAAAACCAGTAGTCCCACCCAGTGATTTATCTGCTCTCTTCTGAGACGAGGGGAAGACGTAGCGGGAGGTGGGGAAGGGACCCGGAGCTGCGATGCCTTAAGCGAACGGTCACGCCGAGAGGCGCGGAACAAATTTCCCCTCCTTAGGAGACGTGACGGCCAAATTTCCCCGTACTCGTGAGAGCCTGCGGGAGGGAGTAGGACCGGCTGCCACCGGCATTGCGGGCGGGGCTCGGAGCCGCCCCGGCGCTGGGCGCGTTGGGTGGGGCATGTAGCAACCCTTTCCCAAAAATCCCAGCGGGCAGTGCCCGTCCTCAGGCCAGGCGGACACAGCAGCGAGAGTCCAGCCACCCCCGGAGGCCTCCTTGAAGGGAGCCGGAGAGCCGGAGGGACGGATCCGGGGCAGGCGGCGAGGGGGCGTGCCCCCACTTAATTCATTAAAATGTGTCGGAGAGCGTGGGAAAGACGGGAGCTTTTCTTCCCAGCGCAGAGCCCCAGCGAAAGGCGTGCGAGGGAGAGCACCCTGCCCGCTCGGCTCCCCGGAGCCAGAGGAAGCGCGAAGGTTTCCTCCGCCGCTGCTCCGCCGGCGCTTTGCCTCCCGGCTTTTTGGCAAAGCGGTTGCCGGAGCGCCGGTGGGGAAACGTGGGGCTCGACAAATGCCGCCCGCCCGGCCGCGGGGATGTGGGATACGAGGATGTAGGGAGACCACCTGGGCCCAAGGGGCTGCGGTTGCTGTGTGGGAACAGTCTCCCTTGTGTGGATTCATCTTTGGGGGGAGGAAAGGGAATGCGGGGGGTTCAGGGGAAAACCTCCCTCCGTATGGTTGAGAGCTGCTCTGCTTGCAGTGGGGCACAAGCAGGGACACGGCCGTAGGACTGGCCTCATGCTCCCCCCATGGACACATCACACACTGTGAGCTTCCAGCAGCACTCAGACAGTGCCCGGGTGGGCTGGGACCTTGCAGCCCCTTCCAGCAGAGCTGCTAAGGCCAGTGGTGAGAATTTGTAAGGGAAACCTCATGGTCTTGCAGTGAGGACATGTGTGAGTGCCCCATGTCCTCTGCAGGGAGCATGGCATCACTAGCAAAGCTCTTACAAGTGGTTTGGGAAGCTCTGTGGACAAGGGGAGGCCCCAGACATCCTCCTGGGACACCCCCATCACAGGGGCCACTGCAGGAACACGGGCTGGGGACTGCCACTTCTCGTGGATGCCACTAAGGATGCTGCTCTGTGTAGTCCCTCCTTCCCAGCCTGTGACAAACAGGATTTAAAGTCTGAGTGAGACTCAAGCATGGTCATAGCCCTACAAGTGATCCTTGTTCTCTGGGGGAGACACAGGTGGAGGTGTCCGTGGGCTGGAGGACGTGGTGCTGGACTGTGCAGTTTGGGTTGTCTCACTGCAGCTTGACCTTTAACCACTCCAGTGCCCCATCTTATCAGTCCTTATCCTGCTGGAAATGCAGCTCCTCTGATGTAGCCTACAACCTCAGCATCTGACAGCATAAATATGTTCCTGGAGCAAAAGGCTACGAACTGGGATGTGCTTGGAGCTGAAGAACTGCCTAGTGCCACAGGCAGGGGTCTCCAGCTGCAGCAGTGTCCCAGTGCTGCCAGGTCATACTGAGACATCACCTTGACTGATATCCCTCTGGCCACTGAGTACACATGCACCAAACTGCCATGGTTCCAGCCCAGGCTCTGCCTCACGTGTCCCTGGCCAGGTGCTCTGGCAGCTGCTTGTGGGACTTCTGGTAATGGAAAACTGGCCTGTGGAGGGACCAAATATCCACTTTGCAGGTGCTGATAGAGTTGTTTGGAG